AACTTGAACCTCTGCAAGGAACTATGAACTAGTCAGAAACATAAAGGTATGTGCATGTGCATTCACATGACAAAAGGTATCAAATTATTTGTGACAATTTATCATTACCCACACTTATAAGACATTTCAATATCAACTTCAATTGAGGGACAATGACTATATCCTATGGAGTATTTTAGGTTTCTATAGGATTGGAAACTTTCCTGCATGAAGGCCAAAGAACCCATTTTTACAAAATATCTTCCCTGGCCTTGGAGTTCTTTCTACTCAGGGTCTGGGTACTGTCCCTCAGATTTTGTAATAAAGGAACAAATGTGATGACAACCTATCAGCATGATTCACAGCACTAATTGTGGGAAATTTCATGATAATTGGCAATAACAGTCTCACAGCCTTTACTACCTAGTTGGCCTTTCAATTGTGATTTTAAACCTCATATTTTTGAGCAACTAAGAATTCTGATGTGAAGCACCAGTGCCCCATTAGATCAGGAGATCTTAACTACTTGATCCAAGCAGGACTCATGGTTTCCACAGAATAGGATATAAAATTCATAACATCATATAGACATATGCAAAGGTCCTTTTGCAATCTCAGTAAAGGTCTGTTTACCTATCATTCTGTAAACCACATCCAAATTCTTCCACTAAATATTTGGAAGAATGCATTGTTTTCACAGATCATATTAGTGGTCCTCAGGTTGAATTCAGAGGCAAAAATTTGTGAGGCTTCCTTTACCTTCTATACCAGATGCCCTTTTGTATCAGTCATTTTGCACCTTAGGGTCTTGTTTCTTTGTCTGGGCCTTTCAACACACTAATTGTAATAATTACATATCACAAGTAGCAAACAAGATAGGCACATATGACCAGATCCATCCTTTTCTTGGCTAAGATGCCATTTTCATGAAGCTTTTGCATGGGATGGCCTACAAATACTACCTTTGTAATTTCAGCTTCCTGAGTAGCTAAGATTCCACACGAGGGACTGTAATTGCTCATTTTTAATTGCTGATTTTAAACTAAAAGAAGGAAAGGGTATTTTACCAATTCAGTGAGCAGCAAGTCCCTTAAATTTTGAGCTCAAGCAAAAGTATTAGCCAAATGATAATAACAAAAGTGATAAAATCAAAAATAAAATGTTATCATCAGGGCTACTTTGAATGTGGTATGTTGGTTCATGAGTTTTAATGACAGCTATATGACAGGACTAGGTAGAAGGGACTCCGGTCCATGAACCATCCTTTATCGGAAAGCTTCCAGTTTGTAAAAATGGGAGAATGAACTATATCCAAATAGCTGGTGTTTGTGTATGTGTGTGTGTATGGTACAAGTAGAAAGGCCAAGGGCCTCCTAATTCCCCTATTTTTTTCTTCTTTACTAGGCCTCAGTAGGTAAGCAGATGGATGAACAGTGTGAGGGGAGAGGGTAAGCTAGCAACCTAGCTAAATCTGGCAATGTGAAGTCCACTGTCCTTATCTTGTAAATGGAATCCTGGCCAGGATTTAAGAATTCTCTTTGAACAATTAAAATTGTTGAAGGCACAGGAAGCCTGAGGTGAAGCACTGAATGAAACCTCTTATTCGCAGAGAGAGATTTCTTCAGAACAGCCCACAGGGCTCATGCTTTGATTCCTAGCTTTTTAGATTCCTAGGAGCTCTCGTTGGCTTCAACTCAGTTCCTGAATTGAAGACCTCATATTGGCACAAAAACATTTCTTCATGAAAGTGTGAAAATAGAGCCCTTCATGTAACAAAACAGCTGTGGACATATGTAGAATGACTGGCTTATATAGGATCTGGAGTCTTGGTCTTGGTTTACTAATTAAGCACTTTCTGATGTAACAGACATTTTTTCTGAATGCCTCCTGGATATCTTTAATTACATAACTATCCAGTGGCATCTATCTTGGCTCTACAAATTCTAAATTTAGGTCAACCTTTGTGTTTCTGTAAAAGAAGACAGTACATTTGTTGGAAGCCACATTATGGAAGATGGAATACTGCAGTGTTTATTACACAGCTAGCAGTCTGCAAGCAGCCTGTTGTAACAAGGACTTGCAGTCCACAAACAGACAGCTTGCTAACAGGACAGAAAGGAAAAAAAAAAGAATTAAAACAACACCAAGAAACCAATCAGCAGGAAAAGAGTGCTGAATTGGCACACTATGATGACCAGAGACAAGCCAGGAGACAGGACACAGGACATGATCACAGAGACATGTGCCATAGCATCTAGTGCCACTGCTGGTCCAGCCTAAATAGGGCCTAAGCAGGAGGGAGGTCCACAGGAAATTCCAGTCCCAGTCACTGGAATAAGAGATTGAGTAACATATCAACCAAATTCTCACCCCTGCTTTCAGGGAACCAGCCACACCTATCAGTTGGGTGGCAAGTGATGAAGGGGGTATTCCTTGCCCCTGCATGAAGACAAGATGCCAGAACCCACCATCCACCATGTGGCCAATAAGGCACCAGCCACACCTGACCTCCTTACTTAATATTATTGAAATATTAAGTCAATTTATAAAATGTTACAGCCTCCTTATAATTTTGTAAACAGTTCAAGAATTAACTTTTGTAAAAGCCATTTTTCTTGAGCCCCACCTCTGAAACAATAATTCTCACATTCACCAAAAATTAAACATTCTTCTTTTGAATAGTTTATTTCTTCCTTCTTCCTCATTCCTTCCCTTCCTCTTTCCCTCTCTCACATCATTCCTTCCTGCCTTCCTTCCTTCCTTCTTTCTTTCCTTCTTTCTATCCTTCCTTCTTTCCTTCCTTCCTCTCAGGGCCTAGAAGTGATGCTGTAACTCAAGTGGTAGATGGTTTTATTTTTTTGTTAACTTCAATTTTTGTGAGAGGTTGATCAATATCTTTGTGTGCTCAATTATTTCCCCTAATATCCTATTCACTTTGGCCCTCTATGAGATAACACAGGTGCGACACATCATCCACACTGGTGTTTTGTAATAGCTTGCTCAGCAGAACAACTAAATAGGCTAAGAGTGAATCAATCACAAGTTGCTCATCACCAATGATTAATTAAAGAAAAGAGCAAGCACTGAAGACACTTTGGGGTTCTCCTACAAGGCACAATGCAGATTCTAGTCTTTATTAATCTATCATATTTTTAAATATACCTTTTATTGTAAACATACTGTACAGATTGGTTATACCATTATGAGTTAGGTCATGAATACATTTCCTTTTGAGCATTGTTACCCCTCTGAGAAAGACTTTACTACTATGTATGTACTGCAATAAGGACTAATTTCTTCCTTTAGATCTTCCATTCAAAAACTGAACTGGAATAAGTAAGTCATTTGTACTATAACGCATGGATCACACATACAGAGGGAGACTTAAGGGAGCAGTAGAAATATGGTTGTTCTCATGTTCTTGCCTCCAATCATAACAGTATTTACTCATCTATTGTTCCCATAAGCATGTTGGAGATGATCTGAATCCAGTCCCAAAGGGCTAGAACTCATATTTCTAAGAGGAGTTTACAAATTACCTTGACACACCATTCCTTAGTATAAAAGACACAAGTGAATTATTTCAATTTCTTAATTATTTGTCGAGAATGGTTGTTTCTACATGCTTTGAATAATATTGAAGGACACCATCCACACTCAACATAATGACAAATGTTAGCTCAAAGAGAGCTGAAGAGTGAAGAATGGTTTCCCATCACCCCTAACTTACCTCTGCCATGAAGAATTTCTCTGTATAATTTACAGAGGTTTTCTGACAAAGATTTTCCTACATTGGGTTTCTTTCCTGGGTGAATATTTTAATAATTGCTGAAGGTTGGCTTCTGGTTGAAAGACTTCCTCTCATGTTTATATTTACAGAAATTCTGTCATGTGTCCAGGTCTCTGATACCTGTACAGATAAGACTTCTGGCAAAATGTTTTCTATACTCATAATTTCTCTCCTGTGTATGATCTCACATATGCTGAGGACTCAGTTCTGATTGAAAGTCATTTCACATATGTTCTATGCACTACTTTCTTTTCTCCTATGTGAGTCAGTTCTCTCATGAACACTGAGATATTCCTTTCAGGTCAAAGACCTTCCACATTTGTAATATTTTTGAGATTTCTCTGCTGGGTGTTATATGAACTTGGATCTATGAATACTTAGTAAAGGACTTTCCACATTTGATATATTTGTATTTTCTCTCATCTGTGTCTGTTCTCTGATGGAAACTGAGTTAGGACTTTTTCTTGAAAACCTTTCCATTTTTTCCTACATATGATTTCTCTCCTCTTTGTGTGTGAGAGTATGTGTCTGTGTTTCTGTGTGTTTTGGGTGTTCTGTGATGCACTCTGAGCTGTGTCTTGTAGTTGGAGGACTCTACCTCTGCTATATCATAAGGTCTCTATCCTGTATTGGTTCTGTATTGCAATTTCAATTTTCTTACAGATCAAAGACTTTCCCCATTTGGTACAATCCTAAGTTATTTCATTTGTGTGAATCAACTTATGTGTGTTAAGCTGTGACCTCCAGGTCTTTCCACACTGGTTGCATTCATAAGGTTTCTCTCCTTGTGTTCTGTGATGGATGTTAAGGTTTGCCTTCCAGATGAAAGAATTTCCATGCCTACTACATACATAACATTTCTCTCTGGTGGGATTTTTTCTGATGGACAGAAAGGTGTATGTTCTGGGTGAAAGAATTTCCACATAGGTTACATTCATAAAATTTCTCTCCTGTGTGTGCTCTCTGGTGGACAGTAAGGTGGAGCTTCTAGCTGAAAATCTTTCCACACATATGACATTCATAAGGTTTCTTTCATGTGTGTTTTCTGATGGACAGTGAAGTTTTACTTCCAGGTGAAAGCCTTTCCACACATGTTACATTAATAAGGTTTCTCTCTTGTGTGTGTTGTCTGGTGGCAAGTAAGGTATGACTTCTTGGTGAAAGACTTTCCATACGTGTTACATTCATAAGGTTTCTCTCCTGTGTGTGTGTTCTCTGGTGGCAAGCAAGCCTTGATTTCTGGATGAAACACTTTCCACACAGGTTACATTCATAAGGTCTCTCTCCTGTGTGTGTTCTGTGGTGGGCAGTAAGGTTACCCTTTTGGGTGAAAGATTTTCCACACACATTACATTCATGAAGTTTCTCTCCTGTGTGTATTCTCTGGTGGCTAGTAAGATATGCCTTGCAGGTGAAAGACTTTCCACAAATGTTACATTCAAAAGGATACTCTTTTGTGTGTGTACTCTGGTGAACAGTAAGCTTTGATTTCTTGGTGAAAGACTTTCCACACACATTACATTCATAAGGTTTCTTTCCTGTGTGTGTTATCTGATGGACAGTGAGGGTTGACTTCCAGGTAAAGGACTTTCCACACAAGTTACATTCATAAATTTTCTCTCCTGTGTGTGTTCTCTGGTGGGTAGAAAGATATTCCTTGTGGGTGAAAAACTTTCCGCAAATCTTACATTCAAAAGGATTCTCTTTTGTGTGTGTTCTCTGGTGGACAGTAAGATTTGATTTCTGGGTGAAACACTTAATACACAGGTTACATTCATAAGGTCTCTCTCCTGTGTGTGTTCTGTGGTGGACAGTAAGCTTTGATTTCTTGGTAAAAGACTTTCCACACATGTAACATTCATAAGGTTTCTCTCCTTTGTTTGTTCTCTGGTGGCTAGTAAGATATGCCTTGCAGGAGAAAGACATTCCACAAATGTTACATTGAAAAGGTTTCTCTTTTGTGTGTGTTCTCCGGTGAACAGTAAGCTTTGATTTCTGGATGAAATACTTTCCACACATGTTACATTCAAAAGGTTTCTTTCCTGTGTGTGTTATCTGATGGACAGTGAGAGTTGACTTCCAGGAGAAGGACTTTCCACATAAGTTACATTCATAAATTTTCTTTCCAGTGTGTGTTCTCTGGTGTCTAGTAAGATATGCCTTGCAGGTGAAAGATTTTTCACAAATGTTGCATTGAAAAGGTTTCTCTTTTGTGTGTGTTCTCTGGTGGACAGTAAGTTTTGATTTCTTGGTGAAAGACTTTCGACACACGTTACATTCATTAGGTTTCTCTGTTGTGTGTGTTCTCTGAGGGACAACAGTGTGTGTCTTCTCAGTGAAAGACTTTTCACATTGTTTATATTCTTCAACTACAGAAGACACATGAGGACTATAGGCAGCACACATCTTACCAGGTTCACTGAAAACACCCATTTTCTGACACCCAGTGACCTTTTCTATCCTCATCCCTAAGGAGTTCCCATTATTCTTAATCAGTTCTGACTTCTGTATGGAGCTCAAATGAAAACTTTTTATAAGTCTCACTTTTTCCTCCCCTGGGTTACTATTCATGACTGCTACTTCAGAGAGATATTTATTGTGACTTTCCTGAGAGGTGCTAATCACATCCTCCATTTCTGGGACATCTAAAATGAATAATAGAAAAATAGACAAAAACATAAATGAGACCCACAAATTCCTTACGATAATGATATTTCCTCACATTTTGTTACTAGATTTTCAATTATCAAAGCATTGCTTTTTGCAGAATATATACATTTCTCTGCAATGTAGTAATTAAGAAAGTAGTACTGACATTTTACAATGCAAAATAATGTTTTTCTGTATTTCAGATTATTATATGTTTTCCCAGGAAATATTTCCTGAAATTATTCATCTCCATACTCTTAATGCTTCCATTCTGAATCGCCCTCTATGCCCAGCACCACTGATAAGAAATTGTCCCCATCAGAGGATAGCAGCCCTAGCATACTCCTATTTTCCTCCTACCTGCATAATACTAGTTTAAAAGAAAATGAGATCTCCTTTCTACATTTCTTATTCTCTTTTTCTCTTTATGAATGACTTCTCTACAGAAAAAGGGAATTGCTAACACTGCCTACACTGGCACACCAAATTCAGGGTGTCTCCATGTGAATTCTGGATTGACAATTCCTTGAGACAAAGGATCACTTAGTTCTCTGCCACACATGACTCAGGGGCACTAGGAATACTATTGCTCTGTACAGCTCAAGATAAACAGACCCACTGGGCTCTGGATCCATCATCACCATTCAAGATGCTTTAACCAACCTGTAAAATTCTTGTCTGAGGTTTCTCTTATCCATGGTTCTGCACCTTGCTCCAGCTTCACAATCAATTCAGGTTTAGGAACACAGTGCCCTGTGAATAAGAAATAGTGGAGAACAATTGCTCTTGCTGGGTCATCATTAATGGAAGGTGGCAGACATCCTGTTGACAAGGTTGGTCCTAAATCTGGTTTCTCAATTGTTTTTGTGGAGTGCCGTCGAGTTGTGGGGTGTGAACTCTGGGCCTGAGAGCTGTCTCTCAGCTCTTAAGCACAAGTCTAGCACTCTATCACTTGAGCCACAACACCAATTCTAGCTTTATTTCCCTGCTTATGTGGTGCTGAGATATCGAACACAGGGCCTCAAGCATGCAAGGGAATTGGTCTACCCCTGAGCCATCTTCCCAGCCCATGGTTTCTCTATTCTTAATAACTCCATGGTGGAGTTTCCCCCAGCTTTGAGTTTATTGTGTCCATTGTGTGGCTTGAACTCAGCTCTTTTGCTCAAAGATAGCATTCTACTAGTTTGAGTCTTGCCTACGATTCTAGTTTTTGAATGGTTAATTGCAGATAAGAGTTTCATGGTCACTTTTCCACAGTTGCTGGCTTCAAACCAAAATCTTCAGATTTCAGCCTCCAGAGTATCTAGAATTCCAATCTTGATGCACTCAACTCTGTGTCAAGTTTGGCTTACAAATACACACTTTCTGATTTCCAGATCATACTGTCAGTAGTAATGTATATTTTATCTAGACTGTACATCCACCTATAATAATTATGCCAAGTCTGAGAAGTCAGTCTCCAATTATTGGATCATAGTTTAGAACTTTTGTCCAAAATTGATTAGAAATCTTAAAGACTGAAAATAAAATTAGCTCTTGAGTTACATATAATGAAGTTGAAGTTTCCCTTACAAAGAAATGACACTTCCCATGGACTGGAATCTTTTTTAGTTTTTTTTTTTGTTTGTTTGTTTTTAGAAAATGTTATGGTTCAAAGGCTTACAACTTTAATCCTTCATTGAAGAGATGAGATCTGAAGTGGCAGGCTTGAAACCAACCTGGGCATGGAAACCCAGAATATACCCCAAAAGAAAAGCCAAAATGGAGTTGTGGTTCATGCAGTAGTGCAAAGGCAAACAACACCAAGCTCCCAGACCTGAATTTGGCTGGCTTTTATACTAGCAGTTTTTTAGCTGGGAATGGACTGGAATCTTATACCTAGATCACATAAACAGTCAAATGTCTACTAAAATAAAAGCACTTGATCTTCCAAGTAAAAGTGACCTTTGCTCACCCAAGGACATTAGGTTGCTATAGGTCTCCAGCATTACATCTCTGTTAAGGGTCCGCTGACCAGGATCCAGATCCTGCCACTCCTTCCAGGTGAAGTACACAGCCACATCATCAAATGACATCAGCTTCTGCAATGGCACATTTCCATCAAGAAATTAGACCTGGGTCATGAGAATTCCAATCAGGAATTTCATTATGCTGCAGGTATGCTTTTGTCTTACATTAAATGTTTGCAGCTTGCTGTATTATCTATTCACTGGGAAAATTAAATAGCAAATTAGAAATATTGGACAATATATAAACCTGCTCATTAAAACACACAGATTGGCAGGGCACTGGTGGCTTATCCTCCTAGCTATTGAGGAGGCTGAGGTCTGAGGATCTAGGTTCAAGGCCAGCCCAGGCAGGAAAGTCCATGAGACACTTATCTCCAATAAACCACCAGAAAACTGAAGTAGCACTTTGACTCAAGTGGTAGAGCACTCACTTTGACCTGAAGAGCTGAGGGACAAGAACCAGGCCCAGAATTCAAGCCCCAAGACCAATAAAAAATTACAGTTTCCCTAATGCATGCAAACACATTTCTGCTGCTAGCAATAGAGACAAGATAAAAACTCTAAGGAGACAATAATCTGGCATGACAACAATAAGTCTAAGGAGGTGTCTGAAAAATTATATTATCATTTTTTGATAAAATTTTAGTACATATAAGGGTAACAATGAATTAAACAAATATTTTTTCTGCATTTACATATACTGCTTCACCCTAAATCCTATTTTGACTTTCTATTAACAGGTACTCTCATAAGCAAGCAGAACACATTCAGGATATGACATGGAATACAGAACATAGAATATTACTAGACCTATGAGAAGCAGTGTCCACATGAATATTAAAAAATACTAACAGTACTCCAGAAAGTAGCTAATGATTTATTTTGCCCATATAAGATTTAATTGAGTTCACACATAAAAATACCCTACGTTAACCATGTTTGGTTTAAATACTAAATATTGAAAAGTGGTCACAGATACCCTGATATTTCCATCCTATGTAAAAAAGAACTGCTACCATGAAGTTTTGTAAACTTTGCCTACATTCTACAATACAAAATATATGTGGGAGGGGAATAAAATATTTTTTACAATATTTTCATTTTAATAGACTTCATGGAAGGTGGAGGAAAATGTATAGAAGCTCAAGGAATACTCAATATGACAAAAATGATGAATATGAACAAATGCTCCAATGTGTCACATATTTCTGAGTCATTTCTCCAGTAGATCCCTAAGGATATATTTCCACTCATGTTTGTTAATTGCAAAATTCCCCAGAGATCCAAATCATTTCCTAAGAAATCCGTGAGATTTTGCAACAAGTGATATTTCTAATAAAGAACACCTTGTCACTGTATTTTTTTTTTTACCAAAACCAGTTCCTATCATATACTGGCAGTGAATTAAAATATTCAAAAGTAGTGGGAAGGAAAGACAAAACAAATACCACATCAAATGAAGTTAGACCAAAGATAACAGAATCAGGAGAAAACTGATTTTCTTGTAGTTTATAAGTTTGGCGAAGGAAATACTTTTCTGTGGGGAACTCTGAAGTTGAGCTGAAGGGGGAAAAGGTTTGAGAGGTTGGAATTCCAGCCTGACCACAATGAGAACACTGAGAGCTGGCCACAGAAGGGTTAAAAGAGAATTCTGGAGAGGGTTAAGAGACTGGAGGGCAGGCCTTTTCCTTACTGTTGGAAAGATAGAAAGATAGCATCTGAAACTGAGCTGCTGTTCACCTTCAAGGCTAGGTAAGGTGAACTTCATGTCTGCATTTTATCTGGGAGCCAGTCTTCTGTCTCAGGAGATTAGGAAACATGTTTTCCTCACAACCTGTTGTGGCTCTGATTGTAGTACTAATATAGATACTTCATTTTTGCATGTTATCAATGATAATCTTCCCTGTGTGCACTCAAGGAACTATGCTTGCTTGCTGGCACCAAGGGACCAAATGCCAGAAAGCCTTCCGAACCCTGGTTTTCCCTAAGTCTATCTGTTTATGTTTTTGTGATCTTCTAATTTTGTTTCTGGAATCCTGTAGAACTCTCTAGGGAACAATTTTCCTATACAATGGGTAAGAAAAATGTCAAACCTAAGAGCCATGTCAGCAAAGTAAAACTGATCACTACGAAAAAATAGTTCCCAGATAGATCATTTGAAGAAAAGAAACAACTGAGACACATATGGAGGAAAGAGGGAATGAGAAAAGTAAGAAAAAAATGATAGAAAGATAAATACAAAGAGAGAGAAGGAGAAAAATAACCAACACTAGTGAGTAGAAAATCAAAAATAGAGAGAGAAAATAGAGGAAAGAAATTTTGTGAGGATACTTTAGAAAACAAACAGGAATTTGTAGAAAGACCATAAAGTTCAGC